CCCAGAATTCACCTCTGCAAAGATCCTAAGGGCTTTTTCAGCCCAACACCAGCAACCTAGCCTGGAGGAGAGAGCCGAGCCTAATACAAGGCTGTCTGGTTGGCGTGTGCCCTTGGTTTTTCATGTGACAGCTTCTGTGTCCAACTGGCCCTTCCGATTTCATTCTGTACACATGAATGTACAATCAGAGAATCGTTTTCAGCTCACTGGACATTACAGAAAGCAATACTGGTCATCTACAGCTATGTACATGTTGGGGAATACGTAGGTGGGGGATCAGACTCTACTCCAAGTGCTGGCCATGTCGGTGAGCTTCTCGGGGGCCTCAGGGTCGCAGCGCTGGTAGAAGAAGATGCTCATGGGGCGCAGCGAGTACAGCGCGGCAGAGCGCGAGAAGCCTGACTCAGGCAGCACGAAGGAGTGGCACGTGGAGAGCAGCAGCCACTCCGCCACCATCTCCCGAAAGTTCATCACGGCAGCACTCTTCCTCTCCATGTCATCAGGCTCACCGCCTTCCCCCCCTCTGTGGACATAGCCCGTTAGTTTGCCCGCAGCAGTGAGGTTGGCGAGCACGGCCTCGTGAATGCGCGTGTGGTTCACGTGCACCACATCCTCCCCGTGCGCCACAGCCTCGCGCACAGCTGCCTCCTCATAGTCGTGCAGCAGCACGGCATCAGAGGCGTTGCCGCCAAAGTGGTTGTACCCGCGCTCCCTCAGCAATATGTCGCCCAGCTTCTCCGAGTGCCGCGGCACAAACCCCGTAAACAACACCTGATGCCAGCACATGCCCACGGCATCACCACGAGAACGGACCACGGAAAAGGTTATGCGGACAGCACACAGCTTACTCAAAGCAAGCTACTCCCTCGGAAGCTTACTCCCCTCCACCGCTCGACAAGTTGGAACGCACGCTCTGATATTTTCCCTGATGCAACCACTCTCAGCTTGCCGGCCAGCTGCCACCTCACTGCACGCCCAGCTGCACTTTCCTCGACGTATCCAGCGGGTGCGTTTGAGAGCATCTTTGTTCTGCAAGTATTGCTTGTATGCATTGTGGATGCGCATGCATGTGTGTGTGGATGTGCAGGTGTGTATGTGTGCAAACCTTATCCGGCAGCTGCTGCTTGAGTGTGTCCTTGAGCTGCCCCGAGTTCGTGATTAGCACCCACCGCACCCTCAGTGGTGGTGGAAACCACCATGCCTCCACTGACTGGGGAAGACAATGGGGAGAGGGGGGGACGAGAAGATTTCAGAACGACAGCAAGTGTGGTGACGTAATACAGGCGACAGGCGAGGCATGAGAAATCTTGGTGACAAGAGCAGTTCTTTATGCCAGTGAAGCAGGCAACAGAAGAAAGCACATGGGTTGGCCAGGAAAAACAAAGGAAGCGTGAATACGAAAATCCTTGTGAATCACTGGTTACCAGCTCAAGCATCCACCTGCTGGCTCACCTGAGCACACCCCATGATTGGAGCTGCCTTTTCCAGAAGCTCCTGAAGCTCCGTGGAATTGTACTCCTTGGGCCTTAGCTTCCTCTCACCTGCGATTCACCCATCACAACCACGTGGAACCACAGTGGACACGAAGGGATCTCTGTAAAAGCAAGACCATTGCAACACGCCCTCCCTTCCCACACCAAACGCAGAAACCCCATTGAACTCCAGTCCACCGAACTGATGCTTTTGATGCCATGATTCTGTTTTGGGCTCAACAAACGCTACAGCGGGTTGAGAATCCACAGGAATCTAGCAAAGACTGCAATAGTAGGAAGATTATTGCCTTTTTACCTCACTTTGCAAACGCTTCCCTTGCCACCATGGCATCGCACCTTGCCATGCCGTTTCATCTTGAATCCTGACGTGAACCCCAATACTGACGGTGTAGGGTGCATGCGTCTGGCCCCACAAGGAGGCAAGAAGCTCCGTTACTTCAGGCTTGGGCCTGACAGCGAGCGCCATGAGGTCGTGGCAGGGAGAAAGGGGAGGTGGTGGTGACGTTGCATGGGGAGATGGTAGGTGGAGATGTGGGTGAAGGGCCATCAAAGGCACGGTGCATAATGGTGCATCGACCAATCAAGCGAAAGAGGGAGGGAAGACGGGGTAGAGAGAGAGGGAGAGAGCGAGAGAGAGAGAGGGTTGGGGGGGCGGGGGTGGTGGGGGGGAGAGCACAGCACGTACTTGAGCAGCAAGCGCAGGATGCAACCCACGGAGTAGGGCACGCGGAGGCCTGTGGCGCGCATCCAGTCGCCCCACGGCCCTTGCTCCTCCGTGAGCAGCTCCGTGAGCTCGCCGCGGTTCCACGAGAGGCGCATGTTGACGGCGTCCTGGAAGGGCTCGAAGAAGAAGGCGAGGTCGAAGAAGAAGAGGTTGCGCATGTCAATCATCGGCACCTCGTCCGCCGCCTGCAGCTTCTCCCACGCCGCCACCCGCGCCACGGCTCTGTCCATAGCGATCTCGCGCGCGGGCTCCATGGGCACGTCGTCGGACGGCGTCCAGTCCACGAGGTTCGGCTCGAACGCGAACGGGATGCACGGATGCCGGATGATGAACGCGCGCCGCATGATCAGCGCCACGGCGAACGTGGACGCGAGGCCCAGCAGGGAGTCCCCTAGCCCTCCGCAGTTGTCGAACCATTCGTAGGTGATGAAACGAAGAGGCAGAGACGACGACGCGTTGCTGCTGCCCGCATCCACGCTGCTATCGGCCCTGCCTGCAGCATTTCTGTTCGCTTCCCTAATTTGCTCGTGAATTTGGATGTACTCGTTATGCCATGACCCGCAAAGCGCATCAGGATAACCGAAGTCCAGAAGCGAAGTCAACTCTGAAGTAAAGGTTGGCTTGATGCCGGTGTTGCTGCTAGCGCTGCCGCTTTCCGTGCTAATGGAGCCAGTGGCGCTGGAGGAAATAAAAAGCGAGACGATGATGGGTATACAGAACGTACGCCAAACCGATATGCTGCGGTCCGCACGTAGAGCCCTCATTTTCTGCTGATACAAATTGGTGAGGCGGGCTACGATCACAGTGGTTGATACGATAAGTGGGTGTTGCATTTCTGCGCCCCTTCTGTGCTGTGCAGTGTACCCTGCCCTCCGCAATGCTGCCTCCAACCATCCCCAACCCAGCCCAACCGAAATCGAATGCAGCCTCACGGGCATGAGGCAGATCTGATCGTTCGTGTCAGACCTCCGTGGCAGTCTGACACCAAGAAAGCTCAGCTCGAAGCTTGACGCCGTCCGAACATGCCTTTCAGACCCAGTCAGTGTCTGAGGACGCGGCACCTGTTTTCATTCTACAAGTATCGTGGCCTCACATCGATCCTGGCATATCGATCGGCACACCGATGTGCCCACACTGCAATTTTGCTGTGGGGTAGACACATCGAGCTATAGGTGCCAGGTTCGAAAATGCAGGCTCGGGAGGTTGGAGCTGCCATTACACTTAAACGCGCAGCCAATCAGGGCAGAGCGTGGATGGTCGTGCAGCAATTCCATTCGCAGCGACTCAAGAATTTTTGGCCTGCGACCGTGGGCGACGCCGATCGATCGAGGCTGTCACCTGTGGCGCGATATGCTCTCCCGCCAACCCTAACACATGCACCACCGCACATCGATCGTGCGAGCTGCAGGTGCCACCAATTTGGGTACCCGTTTACTGTACCTTCTCGACGTTCAGCGAAAAACGGCTACCAAGCATTGGCGATGTCGCCAATACACTGTACAGGCGGCACATCGATCCCCTCCCACGATCGATCATGGCAAAATGAAAACAGGTGCCGCGTCCTGAGGGCAGTCACCTCTAGCCTTTTTGCAAAACTGATCCCACCGCACTAAGGGCGCGTCCCCTCCCTCGATCGATCGTGTGCAGGATCGATCCTAGAAACGGTCAAAAAGGGTTCAAATAGTTGAAAACAGAACAACGCAAGATTTCAGTGCGGTGGACGATCGATCGTCGTCGGTTTTGCACGATCGATCGAGGGAGGGGACGCGCCCTGAATATCATGCGGAATATCCCGCAAAGAAATCGGCGCATGATCGATCTTGCAAAATGGCTGGAGGTGACGCTTCCACAGCACAACCTGAGATCGTTAGGACGCATCACCTGAACGCCGATCCTGCGATCGATCGTCAAAATCGATCTTCCACCGCATTTAAACTACGCGCATCGTAGTAAAACCTTCTAGATGCAAATTCAACCACGCAAATCAAACCTACATAGGGTCGATCCCGCGATCGGCGTTGAGGTGACGTGTCCTTAGGGCTCATTTTGTAGAATCATAATTAGCAAAGTTCGCCCACAGCAGAGCTTTCGCGGTTCTGCAGCACCTCCTCGGTACTTTCTTGAAAAAAATTGCCACGCAGAGCAGTCAGACTCAAGCTGCGAAAGAACTTTCTAGCTAGCTGGGTTGCTCTGAGTAGACACGGGATTGGTCAGGTGGTCGACAAGGACTCTGTGAGTATACGCGATACAAGTGTGGCACCTATTTATATTTTTAGGCATGCTACGTATCTTGCGCAACCGCAGTTCCAGTCGATCCCAAGAAAACCGCCGAACCTCAACCATTCCATCCTTTCAACATCCTCTCATACCCTTCCAACCTCACGTCGCGAGTGGTGGGTATGGCGATTATCTCGCGGTCGTTGCCATCCCATAACTCGTTTTTATTTAATCCATGCACCTCCCGTCGGTCTCCTCTCGGTTCCGTGATTCGTTCAGATGCTGGTAGTTTAAATGTTTCAGCTCCTTCCTTGTCTGCGGTGTTTGTGATCGGCGATGCATTGCATCTGAGGAGAAGTTGCTTCTTTCGCGAAAATGCGCGAAATCACGCGAAGAGCGGGCGTGGTTTCAGGGCACGGGCATATAACGACTCAGGCAGGACCTGGAGGCGTCCAGTGCCTCCGCGTGACACGCCTGTGACGTTCGGCAGCTGGTACAAGGAGGCTGTGGCCGACCGACGGCCCGCCCCCCTGTTGGGTTCGTTAAAACCGGGATCGTTGCGCTGGATGACGAAGCATCTGGCGGACTCGGACGATTTGGCGGAGTGGGCGGAGCTGGCGGAGGCGGTGCTGGCGGACCCCGTGTACCGCGACCGCCTCGAGTGGTTCGAGTACGAACGCCGCTTGCACCGCGACGGCGCCGCTGCTGCCGTGCAGTACGCACGGGACGCGGGATGGGTGGACATGACAGACACGTTCGCCTGGAGCGGAGTGGACATGGAGATGCTCGGCACCTCCTTCACCAAGCCTATACCGCGCACCAACACCTCCGGCACTGCTGCGCCCGCCGCACCCGCTGTCTTCCCATATTCCTCCGGTCCTGCAGGATCTGGAGCCCCCTCTGTCCGAAAGCGCACAGCACGCGCCCGCCAGGGCCGCGCGGGGTTGGGCTGGCCTTCTGGGGTGAATCTTGCGGCTGTACGCGCGCAGCAGGAGCAGCTGGCACGGCGGCAAGAGAGAAGGAAACGACAATCTGAGAGGCGACAGCAGCAGACAGAAGGGGGGAATGCAGGGGAGAGTGAAGTGGGAGGGATTGAGGCAGCGGATGAGGGGTACATGAACCTTGAGAGTGTGAGCAGCGACTGGCTGCTGGATATGGTGCAGAAGCAGCAGGCGTCAATTGAAGAGAAGCGGACCAAGGCAGGGCGGCAGGGTGAAATCGCTAGTGAAGGTTCACTAGCAGGAAAAGAGCCTTCGGATGCTTTGGGAGAGCAAGACATGGAAAAGAACACGATGGGTCAATCACTCCCCGTTACACAAGGGCAACGATCAAGAAGGAAACGGCTTCCGGCGACAGACAGCAAAGAGACGCCAAGGGTTAGTGGTGAACAATGGGTTTCTAAAGGAGGCAGCATGAGGTATGGAAGGCGTGGTGATAGTGGTTGATGGAGTTTGAGCCTTTCAGCAATTACGGTTGTATCAATTGAACTTTAATGAAAGAAACAAGACTAAACCTTATACCCTTGCTAAAATGTACACCTGGGGATTGTGTTGCCTTAGCCAAACGAATAACCGAGCTGTATGTTTTCGTTGGGGCAAGTCGTGTACACTGATCTGCAGTAGCTTGTTGCGGAGTACGGCCGAATCAAGGCGCACAGACCAGCTCCTTCTGACACCTCACATCTCCCGCCAATCCTTCTGTGCTGTTCCCTAACTCACTTCCCGCAGTCCCGCGGTCTCCCGCGTCAAGCATCTCGTTGATTGGCCACTTCCTCCCCCGCATCCATGCACAACTCTCGCCGCCAAATACCCTCCACTCCACACCTTATCAATCAGACATCCGTGTATATGACCTTCATCAGTTCGCTTGAAGATCAGCAAACTATTCCGTCTCACTAAACTCCGTCTTCGAAGGCCGATGTGCGATGGTCCTTCCTTACTAGTACCGAGCCCGTCGTACTCTCATCATCTCGTTCGCAGCGAAGTGATGTCACAAGCAGCCAGGACTTAGATTCGAGGCTCAGCATCGAGTGATTGATTAGAGAAACACACACGATCTAGGTCCACTCAGAGCGACGCGTGGTTCTGGGCGCCCGACAGGCACAGAGGACGCGCCAAGGGCGGAGGGCACGCTGGAGCTGGGTCGCGGCAAGGCGGCGGTGGCGGCGGGATGGAGGCGGGAGGCGGCGTGCGGTCGGCGTCAAAGAAGAGCCCCTATGTGGTCGGCGGGGCGGAGCGACGGCGATCGGGAGGTCGTCAGCGGAAGAAGATAGAGATGCTGCAGATACGGTACAGGTGAGCACGCCGTGCTGACGACCGCTCATCGCTGGCGCAGCACGCGGTGCGGAGGTCCACGCGCAAGGAACTGCTTGCTTGTGTGAGGGCGGGGCGGCTGGCGTGAGGCCTGGGATGAGAGCAGCAGCGAGGCACGGCGATGGCGAGCAGAGAGAGGTGTTAATGGCTGGGATCCAAGTGGAGTGTGGGTGGACATCACTCGTTGATGCTGTTCCCTGTGTATGCTGTTGCTGTGTGCTCTGTGTGTTCCCATCGCATTGCTGCTCTGCTGCATGCTCCTTCGCCCACTTGTGCTACTCTTTCCTTTCAGGCGGCGTCGTTTCCTGCTGCTGTTGGCGCTGCTGACACTGGTGGCGTTGTTCGCATGGTTCGGCGACGACATCATGTCGCGACTAGAGGTGCGCCTCCGCCATGCCCCACCAAACTCACCCCTACCCTCCCTCGCTTCGTTGCTGCTACCACGCCCCATTTCCGTGCTCGCCTGCTGCGGCCTCACCCGTGTGCGCTCGCCGCCTTTTGTGTTCCTCACCAATCCGCCACTCACCCAAGTACTATTGGCCTCTACATATCCCTTGTACCAAACATCCTCTCCGCTTCTCCTTTTCTCGATGTGTCTCGCCCCCTGCCCCTCGTGGTGTGCCAGGCGGTGCTCTCATCAGACGGCACACACCGCCGCCTGCTGCTGCCGCGCCGCTCCACCTCCGCCGTACCACCGCCACTCGCCACGCGCTCGCTGCTGCAGGCGGGGGTGGGGAGCCCTGGGGCGCAGGCACCAGTGCAGGGGGAGGGCGAGGGCGGGGTAGCAGAGGGGGGCGAATCGCACACGCATGGGCGCGAGGCAGCGTCGCTGTGGCCTGAGCCCGCCCCCCAGGGCTGGGTGGCGCATGCAGGCGTGCGAGACACCACAGTCTGGCCTGGTAAGGCTCCTCCCCTGCTGCTGCTCTCACTTTCGAGCACCCACAAAAACTCAGCTGATAAACACAACTCAAGGGCAGGAGCGTGCTTAGTTGACGAGAAATGGTAGGGGTGACACAGCGCGCATGATGGCGTGGCGAGTTGCTACCTGGTTCCTGGTGGTCACTGGCCTGTGCCGTACGTTCAGTGTCGGCATGATACTCGCCCTCGCCGCACTTCACTCCCTCTCCCTTCCACTCGCACCATCTCCTGCTGCGTGCGTGCTCGTGTGCTCGTGCCTCCCTGCATGTGAGCAGCGCCAGCGGAGGAGAGCAACGGATTCGTGGTGGTGAGGTGCAACGGAGGGCTCAACCAGCAGCGCAGCGCGGTGCGTGAATGGAAGGCAGAGGGGACAGCGGAGAGAAGCAATTGTGGGATATATAGGATGTTGATGTCACGTGATGTTCGCCCAACACACACGCTGCACACACGCTGCACACACGCTGCACACACGCTGCACACACGCTGCACACACACTGCATACACGCTGCACACATGCTGCATGCGTCGCAGCATGCCATGTGATGCGTTCGTATGGAAGTTAGCTGCTGTATTCCTTTAAAGCACCCCTTTATGGGTACTAGGTGCTGTTGTCATGAGGTCTTATGCACGCATGTGCAGGGTTCCATGTCATCTCATGGCTACTCAGCACTGCCATCACAACCAGTGACGTTATGCTACTCCCCCACTCCCATACAGTCCATGAGGTTGATTGTCCTGTTGATTCTGCGTTGTTGTCTCTGTCTTTTCCACTTCCCTTCTCATGGCTCCCATGGATGGACCACCATGCTCTCTTCCGCCCTCTGCGTCCACTGTCTCTTGCCTCACTCACTGTCACTTACCAGCATTGTTATGTGTGGGTATTCATGCATTGGTTTGTGTTCGAATGTGAGGGGTGGGGTGCGTTGCGGTGTGTGTGTATGGGCGAGGGTGTGCAGATATGCAACGCAGTGGTGGTGGCGCGCATCATGAACGCCACTCTAGTGCTGCCACGCCTTGACACCAATGAGTTCTGGAACGACACCAGGTCAATAACTGTGCTTCACTGCTGGACTGCAATGCATGACCACCACGCCAGCTAGTGACATACCAAACCGTGTTTTGCCATTCCATGCCAGGCCATGCCATACAGTGACACGTTATGCCATGCAATCATGGTAATGTAGTTTCTTCACCACATCTCTCCCTGCTTCCACGCCATATGCCCACCTTCACGGCTTCTCTTGTGCACCCTCTATGTCCACAACCCAACGCCCTGTGTGCCGTGCATGTGCTGGGTGCGGCAGTGGCTTCGCCACGGTGTACGATGTGGACCACTTCATCGCCACGCTCGCCTCCGATGTGCGCATAGTCAAGGAGTTGCCGCCACACATAACGGCCGACAAGCGCGCCAAGCTCGTCCGGGTAGGTCACTCGCCGTCATTGTTACCCCATGTGGAGCGCTCATCTCTTTCGTGGCCTGTTCATCTTGTCTCGATCTTAATGCTCTGCTGTGCTCATCTCGCTTCCCCGTCCTGCATCTCTCACGCATCCCCCAACATGGCAGCTGCGTCCACCGCGTGAGGCCCCAGTGCAGTGGTACGAGAGCGATGCGCTGCGGGTGCTGCGGCGGCGGGGCGGGGTGTACCTGACACCGTTTGCGCACCGGCTGGCGGAGGAGCTGGGCGCGGGCAGTGTAGCACTGGAGCTGCAGCGCCTGCGCTGCCGTGCCAACTTCCACGCGCTGCGCTTTCACCCCGCCGTGCACACGCTGGCTGACAGCGTGATGGCGCGCATGAGAGCACGCAGCGCAGCGCTGGGCATGCAGGGCCGCTTCATTGCTGTGCACCTGCGCTTCGAGAAGGACATGCTAGCGTTCGCAGGGTGAGTGGCCGCCACAGGCGACTTGCACTGTCACCTGCTTTCGAGCAAAGCTGATCCGTCACTGTTGCCTGCTGCTGATTGAGGTGTTGTTGCCCCGTCGTCTCCTTTGCTGTTGGCACAGGTGCTTCAACATATTCTCTGAGGAGCAGCAGGCGGAGCTGAAGGCTTATCGAGAAGCTAACTTTGCAGAGAAGGAGCTGGAGCAGTCCAGGAGGAGACGAATCGGCAAGTGCCCACTCACACCACACGAGGTAAAGCCCACGTGTCATCTGAACCCCTATCCCGTCGTCCTTGTCCTGGCCGCCCCAGCATGGCACATGCAATCTCCAACTCCTCTGAAGTCGTATTTATGGCGTTTTTCATTGTGCATTTTTAGCGTTGCTTTAACAATTTATTTCTAAATTCAGATGATTATGAAACTGCAGATAAGGATCGTTATGCTACATTGCGTATCTGAAATGGCATCATGCAGATAAGGATTGTTCTATTCTCAGGTCCTCTCCCAGGTTCGGTCTGCTCCCCCCTAATTCCTCTTTATCTCCTTGTGTCTCTTCCCTTCCACACCTGCTTCCGTTCCTCTCCTTCCCCGCTCTCCACCCGTGTTGCTGTGCTCAACAGGTGGGGCTCACACTGCGGGCCATGGGCTTCCCCAACAGCACGCTGCTGTACCTGGCAGGGGGGGCAGTGTACGGGGGAGAGGCATTCATGCGCCCCCTGCAGGCGCTCTTCCCCAACATAGTGCGCCGCGCGGATGTGGCCACGGCGGCAGAGATGGAGGCGGTGGAGGGGCATGGCAGGGCGCTGCTGGGACAGGCTGTTGACTACATTATGTGCACCAAGGTAGGCCATGTCTCATGGTTCCCGTGATCCCATTGTGTGCCCCAAGGTAGGAGTGAGTGAATGCAATCAGTTATTCATGCAGCCCTCGGATTGCCTCCCTGTCTGCATCACCCACTCATGTCCAGGCTGATGTGTTTCTGCCCAGCTATGACGGCCCCAGCAACTTTGCCAATAATGTGCTCGGCCACCGTCTCTACCTCGGGTTTCTCCCATCGCTGAGGCCTGATCGCCGCTCACTGTCCCGTGTGCTGGACGAGAGGGAGGCAGGCGGCATAACAGAGGACGTGTTTGGTCCCGCTGTGAAGAACGTGCTTCGGAAGATACCATCGGCATCACCCTTCCCCCGCCGCCAGGGCCACATGGCCTTCTTTGCCGACCCATGGCCTGAGTGCTTCTGCCAGAACCCAAGTACAAATTCCAATGCTGAAGCTGGCAAGATACAGGCAAAGGATACATGTCCCCAGCACGTTGCTGAAGCGGTAGCAAACATTTAAAGGTCTTACAATGGAACATGCCTTCACCTTTATCAGTGGCAACCATCGGATGAATATTGTCAGTTCCATGAACATTTTCACATTTTTCGTGCCACGTTCATGCTGCATTCATCCTAGGCTGTCACATGTGAACATTTTGCGTTAGTTTTGGGACAGTAAGAAACATTTCTATTAGGTGTTAGTAAGCATTTCGATGGCAGGAACATGCCAATGTCACGTTGTGGGGCGGGGTGCCATCCCTCACGTGCCAATCAGCGTTTCGATGAAGCACGAGAGCGCACCGAAGCATCTCTCGCTCTCTCTGAGCTTGGGGAAAATGACTACGAAATCGTGAGCGGCCTGGAAGCGAAGCAGGGTGCAGGGAGCCTTGTGGCGGCGCATCAGCTCGTGGTACGCCACGCCGTGGTCGTGCAGCACGTCCTGCGAGGCCACCACCACTACGGTGGGAGGAAACAGCGCCAACGCGCTGCTGTCCGCCAGCTTCGACGGGTTGGATGCATAGTGGTCTCTCGAGCTGCCTGGTGGGAGGAAATCCCGCCACGCCCGGTCAGTGTTGCGCAGGTTGAACGTCAGGTTGTGCTGCCGCCGGGTGTCCGACTCCGTCCGCTGCTCGGACCCGAAGTACGGACAGATGAGCACGCTCGCCACTATCGTTAGCCCAAACGCCTTCACTGGCTGCATGCGCCCTGCGCGCGAAGAGGCGCTACTGGCAGAAGCAGCTGCTCGCGATTCCTTTTCACCTGCTGCTGCCCAGAGTGCCTTACATCTGTCCGTCGCTGCTTGGTGCAGTGCCGAGCCGCCTACCGGCGATGCCAAGTCCAGCGACGGTTGCAGCAGCATGAGCAATGCATTGTGCACGATGTTACCGCCCGCACTGTCGCCCATGAGCACCACTCGCCTGCTGTCGCCGTAAAGCCGCAGCCAAGGCTCCACTCCTCGGGGCTCACCGTCGCATTCTTCCGCTCCCATCACACTATCCATCGTCACTTCTCTGCCGCTCCATGCCTCCCCCCCTTTCCGCACATCTCCCTGTGCCAGCCACATTTCGTCTTCCCCGCAAACACTGGTCTGCTCTCCCACCCACGCGAGGGCGTCGAGTGCATCCAGGTACGGCTCGGGGAAGCGGCTGTGGGGCGTGCGGCGGTAGTCCACGCTTACCACGATGCAGCCCACGAGGCGCGCGAGGTGGCGGCAGAAGAAGTCGTAGGCGCGGAAGGCGGCAGTGCAGTACATGAACCCGCCGCCATGGAAGAAAACCAGCACGGGCAAACGGGTTCCGGGCGCAAGTGGCTGTGAACAAACGCCAGAACATTGGCGAAACGCCGACGCTACCTCCGCGGCACTTGCTGCCGCGGCAGTCCCATTTCCGAGATCAGTGAAGTCGGCGTCTCCCATAGGATGGACAGCGGCAACAGGTTCCTCGTCCCAGTCGTGCGCGAACAGGCAGCACCACGAGGGTAGGTAGCAAAGCAGCACGCGGTAGCAAGTCAGGCCGAAAGAAGCCCGCTCCCCCATGGTGGCGGCGACAAGGTCTGTGCGCGGGAGGAAGAGGCGAGCTGACAGGCGGGTGCGGGGATTTATCACCACGTCTCGCGTTGCGACGCCGCTGTGGCAGTGGGTTCACGCAACACGACGAAGTAACGCAGAAACATAAGTGCAATTTAGCGAGGGTAGAGAGAAAACTACACCAAAGAGTCTACACTTTCAGCAGGAATTTTTATGCTGAGCAGTTGACCCCTCATGACACACTGATACACGGTACTACGCGCATCGACACGCCACTCACCCCGTGAACGAGTCGTTGCACGGCTTGGACATAAACATGTTGTCCTCCAGCCATCGCCGCACGGATCCGTCTGAGCGGCGGAGGAAGAGGGAGACGAAAACATGCAGAAAGGCGAGGACGACGAATATGACGAGCTGCTCGACGGCCGTGACCACGATCATCTGCACAGCCGAGATACAAGGGTGGCAGGGAGGTCTTGGACTGACACTACGTGAGGAGGGAGACGAAGGCGCATAGTCCATATTCGTACTGACAAAAAAAGGTAATATGAAGCACAGAGGTACTTTTCGAGAACAAAAACAAGTATGGCACTGAAGCAAGAATGACGCACCTGCTCCCCCGATGCACCTTTACGTGCGTCTGTGGGTGGAACAAAAAGTGAGAACTGTATGCTCTACTTCCGTGTTACCGTGTAGCGAGAGCTTTGAGGATTCTTATTGTGCACTAAAGCAGAATGCTCAACCGTCGTCCTATTCTCTGTAAAAACGAGCTCTCTGCCCGTTGAAACTGCAATCGGGGGCCAGAGGCATTAGCAGCATACAAGGACAGTCATGAAAACATGTCGAAAGCTCAACGCCATTTGATTGATGTGATAGAGAATGGCGAGTGGTGTGCTGTGAGGTGCGCTTCGATACCATTCTCTCCAACACGAGGTTCATCTGCACGGGTAGCATCACGCACGACACTCCACCCAGACACACCACCTCAATTTGCGCCACGGTGGGGTTCGGTTTGACCCAGGAGATGCTCCGAGGTCCGCACGGTGATGATCATTGATGGAGGGATGTGTATCACCGCGGCACCGACCGACAACCCACAGAGTCTCGATGCCACCGCACGTAGTAGCTGGTTAGAAAATCGAGCATCAGTCGCTACTTTTCTGGTGCCTGCGTGCGCGAATATAAGAAGGCCACGTGGAGAAAACACCAATTTCAACAGAGTTCGTGAAAGCAAATGCTGGGTGGGAGTGCGGAAGAGATCTGAGCTGGGCTGGTACGCGTTGCTATTTTCGCCTGAAAGGTACATACGCTGATGTTGGGGGACACAGCTCTTTACATATGTCATAATTTGCACCACTTGAGAGGATAATTACCAGACCTTCCAGTGAGAGGAAGAGAACATCAACGCAGGCTAATCTGAGGAGGGAAAAGATCAAAATCGGGCATATTAATGCAGCATACGGTAAGAATCAACTGGATACGGTAAGAGAAGGATCCACATACCGGTAGCGTAGTTGAGACAGCGCAAGCATGTCCTAGATAGACATTCTCATAGTGAATGTAAAAAACAAGAGCACAAAACAAGACATCACATTTAGTCCTCGCCAGCCATGTACCATGTCGGGTTCATTTCTTTAATTCAACAGTTTTGCATGGTATACCGGTATCGCTACAGTGGCGAAGCAGCTTCCGATGCCTAATGGTTACCAGATGCACTGTAACCTCTGCTTAAGTTAGTCAACAGTCGACATAGTTAAATTCCAGTTGCAGACTCCCTGCTATCGCGTGCTCTACAGGAGTGTAACGCAATAATGGGGGAGTACATGAAGGGATTCTTGTAGAGATAAAAATGAACCTGTGCCATTTCTTCACCAGGATTTTGTACTAGTGCTGAGCATCAGCCGCATCAACTACATTAACTTCCAAAATGAAAATAGCTTACAAGCAGCATTTGTCAACCACAGCATGAGCTGTCAACCTTCTTCTCAGGCTGAGGTGCATTTATGTCAATGGTTTGACCACGTCCCGGCTGATAACTATCTTCGTCTGGCGCCAATGCTCTCTTCGTCATCATCCAATAGATCTCCGTCAAGATCTGTGTGAAAGCATCTTCGACATTGGTGGCGTCCAATGCAGATGTTTCTATAAAAAAAAACCCCTCCTTCTCTGTCAAACCACAATAGCACGAGATGGACGTCATAGACCCAAACGATTCAGTATACAAGGGGCGAGAATCAGACAATCACTAAATGACACGATATGCTACTGGGAACGTTTTGCTTTTCTCAGTATGACCTCGCGAAAGTGTGTATCGAAAAGGTATAAGAGGAGGGAGTGGGGACGGTGCATCAGGAAGCAGCCCAGAGTAAACAACAATGTTCCGACGGTTGAACGAGAGCGATAGAGCATGACGATAGTACAGCGGAGAATTATTCGTAAGCTTCTTATGTGGCTTGTGAGGGGCGGTGGTACAGGGGAAACGCCAGAAGAGCGACCAAACGAGCAAATGCTTACCAGCGAAGCCTTGAGACTTGTCCATGGCCACCTTACGGAGATGCTTAAGATCGCATTTGTTGCCGACCAGAGTAATAATAATGCTCTGGTCGCCATGGTCCCGAAGCTCCTTCAGCCATCGCTCAACATTGTCGAAAGTCACTTGGCGAGTGATGTCGTAGACAAGCAGGGCGCCGACGGCCCCCCGATAATATGCGCTCGTGATGGCCCTGTAGCGCTCCTGCCCCGCCATGTCCCATATTTGAGCCTTGACGGTTTTGCCATCCACCTGGTTCAAGAAAATGCACAGGGATCATACACCGTGAAACCCAGTGCTATCGAAGAGTACTGGCGAGTACACGTTAGACACATGCGCCTGAAAACATGGTTCTAAGATGCACATGTCCGCACCTCAATACTTCGTGTGGCAAACTCGACTCCAATAGTTGATTTTGACTCCATATTGAACTCATTTTTTGTAAAACGGGAGATCAGGTTGGACTTGCCTACGCCAGAGTCTCCCACCAACACAATTTTGAAGAGGTAGTCATAGTCATCGTCAGGTTTGTGGTGGGCCTTCATGGCTTCAATGAAAATGACAACGGTTTCTAACTTCACACTACTGAAAAGGGCGAAATGGGTGTTTGATGTGAAGATGGGAAAATTGAACTCCTAGTCAGGGAGAAGCACGAAACCCCATCGGCCAGTTTCGTGAGCCCCTAGTGCTGTGGTGGCGGGATTGGGGACTCCCTGAGCCAGGAGAACCGCAGATTGCGGGACACTCGCACACCCCCTCATGCTGGCCAGGTGCTGGACAGAACCCGGTTATAGCCATCGCGGTTCTCGATATTGGTAGTCAGGTACACATTTAAAGGAACATTTTTTTCCTTACCGTGATAGTACTCTATAGCGTACGTTCTGAACTCAGAAAAGGTACAAATTCTAGACTCTGAGGCTCCCTTCCGTCGCCTTCGGGCTTCCTTATCCTAAGACTTACCCAAACCGAGGTTCCCAGATAGCTAGGATTCTTGCTATATTGTCCAGCGACCTTCATAGTATCACAAATTCATTCAATAACTAATTCATTATTCGTTCATTCAGCATACTCTGTTTGATAACTAACAACGCTTGGTTTCAGAGCTAATTTCTTATCTTACCTTGAATTTCTTGAGTATTTTTGTCAAGAACTAACGAGCAGGAATGGGTTCACTAGCAAGAAATCAAAGTACAAGTACCAAACCCTGAAGGTATTGTACTTTATACAAGCTACCCCACTACACCCTACAAACAGATAAATCAGTTTTGACACACCCCCATAGGCAAAGTAGGGGAGAACCAGCGGTCACAAAACCAGTCAAGAAAACAAAGAAAGCTCAGGGTGGATCACGAGGTCACCACACACTCTGAGCACAAGCAAATGGCCACAAGGCCGGTCCAAATGCAGAGTTATATAAACAATAGCAAACAGTACAGTGATCACTACCTAGCAAGAGTAAGCATGCATGTATTAGTAATTAGAGCACAGTACAATCAAATTCAACAAGTCAGCAAGTGAGGCCAAGTAGACACAAGGCCTAAAACAATACAGAAACGCTCATGATCACAAGGCTGAAGTGCCTTGGTGAAGATATCAGCAGTGTTGGCCCGCGACGCCACGTAAACAAGACGAAGCTGACCACACTGCTGCAACTCTCGAGCAAGGAAGTAACGCAGAGCGATGTGCTTCGTCATGTGCTCCAGTCCGTGGTCCTGACATAAGGCGATTGCCGCCTTGTTGTCTACGTACAGAACTGGAGGAGAACTAGGCCGCTCTCCCAAGTCAGTCAGCATGCAGGTGAGCAAGCGTAACTCCTTTGTAGCCATGGCCCTTGCGTAGATCTCAGCCTCACAACTGGAACTGAAAACAGAAGACGAGCAAGTAGACCGCAAAAAAACAGAACCGGAGCCAAGGCCGAAAGTGTAACCATGTGACGACCGCTGCGTAGCCAAGTCGTCAACAAAAGACGCGTAAGCGTGGCCAGTGAGAACAACTCAACTCTGTCCTCCAAGCACGAGCCCCATGCCCGACGTACTGCACAAGTAGCGTAACACCCTCTTAGCGGCCTCCCTGTGCTCTTTTCTGTGTCTCCCGGGCGCAACGTAGTGTGCCAAGATGCTGAGAGGGTAAGCAAGGTCACGTCGAGTGCAGGTCATTGTCAAAACATATGCATATTATTATCTAGGCTATATTGGGGCTAGCCTTAGGGGGTACACAAATAATCTCGACACACTAGTTTTGTACCCCAACCTTGACCTAATCACACATTGACTCATGCCTATGATTCTAAGATGGTATCTAGAGCAATAGGTCTATAGGACCTAAGATTAGGGCCCACCCGTTACCACGTTACCTCACCTGCCTTGCCTGTTGCCCGCGCGCGCCTCGGCAGCACGCGCGCGGCCTTTTTGTTTCCCGTGCGCGTCGCTTAAGCAGCCCGCGCGCAGCCCGTTTAGGCCTGTTTAGGCTCGTTTTCGACCCCGCGCGCCACGTCAGCCGCCCTCGCAGCCTGTTGCCGGCCCGCGAGTCGCGTAAGCTGCCCGCGCGCAGCCCGCTTAGGCCCTGCGCGCCGCGTTCGCCGCCTGCGTAGCCCGTTTTCGGCCCGGCGCGCTACGTCAGCCGCCCGCGCACCCTGCCGCCGGCCCCACGCGTCACCTCCTCCGGTGACGGCGCACTGCCCCCCGTCGCCCGTCACGGCACCTGTGGGACCCGCGCGTTGCCGCCACTGAAGCAGCCGCCCCTGAAGCAGCCGCCCCTGGTGCAGCCGCCCCTGGACCCTCGAGCAGCCGCCCCTGGCCCCTGAAGTAGCCGCCTCTGGACCCTCGAGCAGCCACCCCTGGACCCAGAGCAGCCGCCTCTGGCCCCTGACGCAGCCGCCCCTGGTGCAGCCGCCCCTGGACCCTCGAGTAGCCGCCCCTGGTGCAGAGCAGCCGCCCCTGGCTCCGACAACAGCCGCCCCTGGTGGAGCCGCCCCTGGACCCTCGAGCAGCCGCCCCTGGACCCAGAGCAGCCGCCCCTGGCTCGTGAAGCAGCCGCCCCTAGTGCAGCCGCCCCTGGACTCCGTGCAGCCGCCCCTGGACCCCGCGACGCCGCCCCTGGACCCGCGACGCCGTCCCTGGACCCCGTGCAGCCGCCCGCGGAGCGCGGGCCCTGCTCGCCCAACGAGCGCCTACTCTTCCCGCCACTGGTGAGCACCTGCCTTGTTAGCGCGCTGCCGCGCCACTGCCTGCCTGCTTGTCTGCCAGCCTGTCTGCCTGCCTGCCTGCCTTCCGCGCCTGCCCTGCCCGCCCTGCTACTGCAGATATTTCTGTTACTACTTCTAGGCTACTGCTACTGCTGCTACTGGCGGTGGCCAGATGCAGATCCAGCGATGTCCACGCGAGTCTCTCTCGCCCCAGCTGCTCCGTGAGTGGTACGTTAGTTGGGGTTGTGGCGGTAGCCGTCGTAGCTGTCGCCCTGGAGCTGGTCAATTGGGAGCGTCTGGCAGTGGCCAGCTGCAGCTGCAGCGGCGTCCATGCGAGACACTTACGTCTCGGCAGCTTCACGAGTGGTACACTTAGAGTAGAAAGTTTTTCAGTACCGTTCGCTGCCCGTACGTCATTCGCACAGGTGCCCGCACTGGTCAGCCTTGCGGGACGCTTGGTCACACACAGTCCCGCTGCTTTGCCCGTCTGAGCGACGCCTGGTGTACCGAGTTTGGCGACAAGGCTAAGCTCCCCACCTGGTTGGAGCTGCTTAGGCGTAGGGTAGATATCTTTGCTCTTGACTAAGATGCTATTCTCACTGCCATGTATGCATAGCCTAGTAGTGTTGACCGTGCTTGTTACCTATGCGTACCGCCTGACCCAGGTATAGAGCGTGCTGCTCTAGGTGCTGGTGAGGCTGCTGCCCTAGGTGCTGGTGAGGCTTCTGCTCCACGTGCTGGTGAGTTTGCTCTCTCTGGTAGTGCGCCTGCTGAGGCCTTATACACCTTCACACTTGACTCTAGTGCTTCTCGCTCCTTCTTTCGCAACAGCACCACCCTTTCGCCGCTCAGTCGGCCGGTTGCAGTCTCTCTGGCAGACCCCTATGGGGGTCAAGTCCGTGCGACCTCCACAAGTGTCCTCCCTTGTCCTCCTGTCCTGTCCGGCACACTGTCGGGTCTTTACCTCCCCTCGTTCTCTACGAACTTGGTGGCGGGTTCTGCGCTCCGGGACACGTGTGTTCACCAGTTCACCCTTGCCTATGAGCGTGTGACACATTGCATGTGTGCTCAGACGGGTCGTCACCTGGCTACCTTCACTCGGCAGCCGGGGTCGGGCCTGTACACACTGACCACTGAGTCCCCTCAGGTAGCAGCATCTCCGTCAGGTCAGTTGTCGGCCCCCTGCTCGTGTCGCACACTGTCGCACCAGACGGTCCTTTGGCACCACCGCGTTGGTCACCCTTTGATACAGCACCTTCGTGGCATACACTACCGTTACCTTGCCTCTGGTCTTCCCAGGGTTCTCCCTCCCCTCCCACCCTCGCCTGCTCCTCCCTGTCTTCCCTGTGTCGAGGGGCGCCAGTGCGCCGCTCCTCACTCCTCCTCGTTCCCTCCCACAGAGGCTCCCCTGCAGACTCTCCACCTGGACGTGTGGGGCCCAGCCCGCGTCCGCGGACAGGGCCACGAGCGGTACTTTTTGCTGGTCGTCGACGACTACACGCGTTACACCACGGTCTTCCCCTTGCAGCGCAAGGGGAAGGTCCCCGATGTTTTGTTCCCCTGGATCCGCGCTACCCGTCTCCAGCTCCGCGAGCGGTTCCAGTCAGACTTTCCAGTCCTGCGTCTGCACTCTGACAGAGGTGGTGAGTTCTCCTCAGACCTCTTGGCACCCTTCTGTGCGGAGCACGGCATCCGCCATACGTTCACGCTTCCGGCCTCTCCGCAGCAGAATGGGGTTGCTGAGCGCCGCATTGGCTTAGTCATGGAGGTCGCTCGTACCTCCATGATCCATGCGGCTGCCCCCCATTTTCTGTGGCCGTTTGCGGTCCGGTACGCCGCGCATCAGCTCAACCTCTGGCCCCGTGTATCCTTGCCGGAGACCTCACCCACACTGCTGTAGACGGGGAAGGTTGGCGATGCGTCACGTTTCCGGGTCTGGGGTGCTCGTGCCTTTGTCCGCGATACCACCGCGGACAAGCTCTCCGGCCGCGCTGTTCCTTGTGTCTTCCTTGGCTTTGTCCTTGACGCGCCTGCTTGGCAGTTTTACCACCCCACCTCGCGCCGTGTCTTCCCCTCTCAGGACGTCACGTTCGACGAGTCGGTTCCCTTTTACCATCTCTTCCCCTACCGCACTGCCCCTCTCTCCCCCCCGCCGCCCTTCCTCGCTCCAGGTGCTCCCAAGGTAGACCCCCTCCCCGCTCCCGGTCCTACTCCTTCAGGTGTGTCTCAGGTCGACCCTTCTCCCTTCACTGCGCCGGTTGAGGTCACTGGTGACTCAAGTCCTGCTAAGGGTGGTCCTGCTCGGGGTGCTGCTTCTGGGGGTGTCGAGCCTGGAGGTGCAGAGCCTGGGGGTGCTGAGCC